TATTATGTCTCAGAGTGACGGGCGTAGTGGCAGTGCCCCTCAGATTAGAAAATGTTATAAAAATATTGTATATAGTTTCAGTTTTCTGAAGCAACTTTTTTTCAAAACCCTGATAAAAAGGCACCAAAGCAACATAATGTTTAAAAATTACATAATGTGAAATGCTGTCAGCAAGTCAAATTGTCGAATCGGGGCAGACAAGAGCTGTGTTGTAGAATTACCAGTAGTCATTTGTTATTTTGACTAAGCGGCGCCTGGAAATGTCAAAATAATGGAATACGTGCTATTGGGTGATGAAGCACAGCTGTTCTGCGCTCCGCATTGGTAGATAGTGGACTTTACAACGGTTATTACCACACAACATGTATGTTAAAGAGATTACTCGCCGTCGAGTATATAACCAGAAATAGACACGAAATGTCATGTAATTTGTTTGAAAACTATTCTGTCAAATCATTACGGTGGCAACTGCGCTCCGATTGACCAGCCCGAATTCGAAACAATTGACGGGTGTCGTCAATTGTTTTATTTCAAACTGACTAGTTTAACTTGAGCTTAGCCATAATGGACATTGAAAAATTACATATTTAATATTTAATTACCGACGAAATGTGATCCCGTATGCTTTGCAATTAGATGTTTTGCTGTTTTTCTCACACCACCGAATGGAACAGCTTCCCATAGTTAGAGATATTATCTTTATTACAATAAATACAGAATATTTTTGGAGTATACGGAGACGTACACGCAGGTCAGTTGTACTACTGTACTATTTCAGCTTTCTAATTTGTGATTTCAGTGCAAACGAGAGTTGATACTTAAAAGTGATATAAGGCCCATTTGCCCGATGGGTTGCCAGGGGAGGATGGCCCTTATTTCGTCTCTATTTCGGGTTATCGATGTTACTCACAGACAAACAAATATCGCATTGGTGTTAACTAAGTAGAACAAGTTACCAAAAGTGAAAAGCTATATAACACAAATTAAGAAAATGCATACATGTACTTATGACTTTAATATCTAAGCTGCGCACATTTGTAAATGTTTAGTAGCAATTAGCGATGGGCGATAGTTACTAAAAATAATTGAATTGTTCGATTATAAACATAATCGAAATAATACCATTTTTGATATTAATTAGATACTTAAAACATTCTCACAAGTATCATGGTCCAAGGTTAAAAGCTATATGACTATGGTGAGTTTGCAAACAGTGTGAAAAGGTTGTAAACCGACATTAGGGAGTATTAAAAAAAAGGTATAAAAACAGGTACAATATTAAAAAACACTCCCTACTTAAAAACGAAAAAATCGTGAGACAAACTTACCCCGAATTATACAAATATTACTAGGTTTAAGTGGTATTAAAATTGGTAAGTGATTTAGGATGGGAACTGGTAAAAGGATCAAAATTTGACGAGCAGGAGTACTCGCTTCAGCACTTAAGCAGAGAGTGACGACGGGATGAAACAAAGTGAGAATGACGAGGCAACGGAATTAGGCCAGGAACCAGAAAAAAGGTGATAAAAAGGTAGGACGACGATCGAGGAGGTCGCATAGTTACAAGTTTGGACTCAATAAATTGATCTCCACGAGATGTTAGCTTACAAATAGTGACTTTATTAACTTTTTGGAGTGATCGGTCTTTTAAATTTTAATTTAACTTTTTACTTGTACTTTAGGACACATTAAAGATACGGTAGGTCGACCTGTCCTCTCGTTTCCGTCTACATTAGCTCTAATAAAATAATGATTTTCTTACTACATCCTTACCATGACTAAATCACTAAAAACAGATAATTTATTGTTATAATTATTAATACTGCAAATACCAAGAATATTGACTAAGAGATATCTACTTCAAAAAACATACTGACTGACATGATTCGTTTTACAAAGAAACAAACGTGAAGTGCAAACAATGACGAAATCGAGGTTTCACTTAATATTTTAAAATTCTTAACCAACACTTTGACAACTGTACAAATAACACAACTAATATTTATCTGATCTAATTTTCAACAAACTTAAATTTGTACATCGAAACACTTTTTAATAAAGACAAATGGAATTCATTTTTGAAATTCAACTGCAAATGTACAACTGCTAAAATTGGGGACAAAAATACATGAATCTTGCATAGATCTTCAAAGGCTTTTGTTTTTAAATAGAACGTATAATTATTACGGGTTACATTAATGGGTGTTTATCTAAGAAAGGTACACACTTTCTCTTTTTTATTTTGAAACCTAAAGGACAACTTTCGATATCAATTATCACCTATCAATCTCAATTGTTTAACGTCATTGTGAGTCCCTTGTGAAAGAGTTCGTCCAGTGACGTACTGACACCTTTACCTATTTCTGCCGCCAAGGCGTCCTCCGGCACCCTTGCCTTTCAAAACCGGAACGCAGTAATGTTAATGTAATGTTCAAGTTAGCTGTCTTGAACTCAGTGGAGCGAAAAGTAGAAAAAATGAAATAAATGGCAAAAACTGCCTCGTGGAAGCTTTTAGGACACCGCAGAAAAGTTTAAATCACTTACTAGTGATTTGAAACATCTATTGAACACAATTCATCATAGACATGACTTTAAGATTAGCATTATCAATAGCACAATTAAATTTCGGGGATAAATATTGAATTTGCGTTAACTATAAAACATTCTGAGATGAGAACCCCAAAAATCATTTTTGACGACCAGCTGTGACGCAGCCCCCTTTGTGATAATAGTTTATTTTTACATTTCTTTTATTAAACGTTGTCTTACTTTTCGCCAGTGCTTTGTTTCAAAAATTTTGACAGTTGCTTCTTCTGAACTGTCTGGTTCGGCTCAACGCTATTGTTTTTACCGACTACAAATTAAACGCGTTTAATTTGCCAACGTATTTCCATTATAGTGCACATCTTAACATACAGTCCACTCGCCAATAATTATAATTTGTTTTGTTTGTTGACATTTCTACTTTGTGTTTGTCTAAATCGGATTCAACCATAGATATAGGATTTAACTAGAGTTAAATATGTGGATTCCAAAGCGTCAGAAATAAAAAGCTTATTATCTGATAACTAGTCTTTATAACGTTACGTGTCAAAAATATAATCAAATCTCTGTAAAAATATAGTTATTTCCCCAAAACCGCAGTTTTCTGTGTCCATGCACTAAACTCCACTTATTTATTAAAACAAAAATCTACAAAAAATGGAGTGTATAATATAGGTATACGAAAACTAACTGGAGAGCACAAAATCTTCCGGACTTAATGGGAAAAAAATCCAAAATGCCTAAAACCTGACAACAGTGGAGTGTCCCGAATGCAAAATCCAACACAAAGTGTAATTTTTCTCAAAATTGAATCCTTATATCAATATTAGACTTTAGTTCACGTATAATAAATTAGATGATAGTACTTATAATCTGCATTTCACAATAAACTAGACAGTAGTTTTATCACAATACCAATATTGCTGCGTGTCACAGGTTTATGCGGGAATTCGGTAGTGGCTCGTTACTAATCACGCCACACATCACAAGTGAAGCATTTTAGAAGCTTCGCAATTCGTTGTTATTCCCCTGCGGCTGAAGAGAAGAGGTGGATGACTTGTTGCTGATTTTATGACTTTTTGCGTGTAAATATTTAATTCGGTGGATTTAGTCCAGGTAGATTTTAGAATTCGCAGTATACAATATTTCAAAAACTAAATTTTAATGGTTGCATATAATATTTTTCATAATACGCGTACAACTAGAATATAATAACAATTTATTGGTTTTACAAGTATTGTCGTTTACGAGTAACACCTAAAAAATATATATTTTCTGAATCCCGTGGCCTTGGTTTCGGTGGATTTTATGCCACCAAATTCAGAAAAGGAAGCTTATTTTCTTTGAAAAGCAAGAATTTTATGGTTTTTTTTTATATATTTATATAGTTTAGTTAATATTATTTATTTTTACAATTTTATATTACTACTTGCTTCTCGGTGAAAATGAATAAGGAAAATCAAAATAGAAAAATTGGAAATCAAGAAGATGAAGGAAAGTGCTAGAAAAGGAAACAAAACCGGAAAAATTCCCGAAAAATTTGAAAAATTATAAAAATATAACTTCGAAAGCTTATTGTAAGTTCTATGTTTAGAAATTTCTTTTGAAAAAGACTGGTATAGCAAAAAGTCGCATAAAGAAAAACGAGATTTAAAATAATTCATAACAGCGATTAATAAACCTCTTTAATGGCTCCAGCGCTTTCGTTCAGTAACTTCAACTTTTGACAGTTGTCAACGTCAAACATGGAAAATGAAAGGAAAAACGTTGGAAAATTTTACGGAAAAATATTTATTTTATTTTTCTGAAAAATATGATTTTTTCAAAATGGCAATTTTTCCATAACCCAACACTATGTCCCGTAGAATACCGATAAGCAGGCAACTTTATAGCGGTGTTCAACGCTCTACAGCTTCACCTCTACTAATCTAAAGTAACCACTTAATAGAACAAACACTGACCTGTAGATAAGTTTTCTTCTAACAGACCGCTTGAAGAACCCGCTGCAACCGTTGCAGGCGAGAATGCCGTAATGTTTCCCAGAGCTGGTGTCCCCACACACCACGCAGATGAGGCCTGTGTTAAAAATATTGTACAATAATAATGTGCACAAAAGGTATATTATTGTATTCCTTACAATAGACAACATTGCAACACTACGCCCACTTAATTTTTGGTAATTTTTTGTTTTTAATGTAAACAGACTTATTTATTTGCTAATATTAAGCTTCCCGAATTTTGTGAAAAAAATAAACAAAGAAGCAAAATAAAAATAGAAAATAACCACATATTAAATTGGCGTAGTGTTCATTGGAGGTATCGAATAACGGTTATTGTTTATTTGCCACATTTGCAATTATAGAGTTGTCCCAGTGTTGCAGCCAGTGTGCGATTTATTCTAGGCAAAATGACACGTGTTAAACTTATTATACGTGTGGAGCACTATAAGTTTCCGGAATTAATAAGAAAAAATACTATAAATGGTGAGAAATTAATTTATTGTTTCTCAAAATTTTCTCCGTTAGCGTTAATGCACTTTTACATACGAATTAACCAATTTTGAAAACATTTATGCCACTCCTCCGTGACAATCTCTGAAACATCTTTTTCATACTCTTCTACAGCCTCTTCAGGTGATGAAAATCGTTGGCCGCGTAACTGGTTCTTAATTTTCGGAAATAAATAAAAGTCACAAGGTGGCAGGTCGGGACGTTACGCGGGATAGCTCATAAGGTCAACGTTGTTCGCCTTCAAAAATTCATTTGTCTGTCTGGCCGTGTGAGAACTGGCATTATAGTGGTGCAAGATGATACGGCGTTTACGGTTATTTTTACGGAGTTTGTCAATAACTTCCGGCAAAGAAATGGTCGTGTACTAACAACGATTCTCCATAGCCACGTGTCCAGTTTTATTAAAAAAAGAAGCAATCATCCGCTTAGAGTCACTTTGCACGCACGCCACTTTGGTTGGTTTCGGCTCATCTCAAAAGACCCCTACGCTCGATTGCTGCTTTGTTTTGGGATCGTAACTATAAAACCATGTTTCGTCACCTGTTACTAAGTCCCATACCAAATTTGACGCCCCTTCGTTGAATCTGGTAAGCATGGCATTGCACCAAGTGACGCTATCCGTGTTTTGAGCCTTAGTCAAATTGTGTGGGATTCACCGAGAGCATAGCTTTTTCACACCCAAAATATTTGTATAGTATTGATTGTATTTAACTCATGCCTATGCCTAAAGGTGCCCGAATCTCATGGTCTGACATGTGCCTGTCTGTTTTGATCGTACGGCGCACAGCACCGATGCTTTTGTTGTTCACAGCAGTGGACGGGCGACCATGACGAAATTCGTCACTGAGATTCACACGACCGCGTTTGAATTCTGCAAACCAGCTGTAAATAGTCGTCTTGCATGGTGCTTCATCGTCAAAAGCAGTTTGAAGCCGAGCAAAGCTCCGCTGAGCTGTTAAATTACACTTAAAGTCGTAGAAAATCATACTACGAAAATGTTCACGAGTTAAATCGATGGTGATGTAGACAATCAATTTCTAAAATGACGCCACAGTGTAAAAACAAGTGACAGTCAGATGAAACAAACTGTATTCTACAGTCAAAGAGTTCCATTTTCAAATGGCCAGTTCCTGAAACTTACAGTGCGCCCTATGTAAGTACCAACGCTCTCAGAGCTTTATTAAGTACAATTGGGATGATGACAAAGAATATTAACAAAGACAGACGAGCAAGTATAAAAACATATATTATGTAAACGTGGACTGTATTCAAATGCGACAGAAAATTGAAATTCAATTAGAATTTCAAACAGACCAAGAGCAACACTTTAATAAATGAAAATTTTGAATACCTTTGAAACCGATCAATTGTAAGATTATACGAAATTCAAATTCAATAAAATTTCGAACTGCTCCACTACATTACTTTAGAAAAATTTATATCGACCGAACACATGACTATAGTTTACTGCAGTGTTCTTGAAGCACCGTCCATCGGACTAGGAAAGAGTTCGTTCAGGGTAGTACTGCCACCTTACCTATTTCTGCCGCCAAGCACTAGTGTCAGCATTACTGTTTTCCGGTTTTGAAGGGTAATGGTGAAATTACAGGCACATAGGACATGTCAAATTATGTCTCAGTAGTAGTAAAGGACGCGGTAGTAGTGCCTCTCAAATATTTGCAATTTAAAGCTCTGAGTGGCATTGCAACTGGTATAGCTTAGCACCAGGCGCATGACTTGTCCGTACCGTCACTTGATGTTATAAAAACATCTCTCTCTTTTACAGTGCAGTCGAAAACCAGAATTTGTTAAGGGGTCATGGTTTTAAAAACGCTTGGTCGGTTTGGATAACGAACCACTATTTCTATACGTAAGAGAGTATTTAGAGACGTAAAATAATTTGCAACGAAAATATGTACACCTGGATAGGTTCAATACTGTACAGTTGATAATTATATAAGATCTTGTTAAATGTATAAACTTAAAATTATAACGCATAGAAACCTAGTCCGCACACGCTGAGGCAAATTGAAGCGCGCCAAAAAGGCCTATACGACCGGGCGGGCCTTCAGTGCTCAAGGTCAACTTGCACCGCGAACAGATCAACAATTTTAGCTAAAAATGACGAAATGTGCGGCAAATGAGTGTAAAAATACGTCAGACAAACATAAAATAGATACTAATATCACATTCCACAAGGAAGTAACGCGTTTCAACTTGTATTTTTATATAAATATCCACTAAAACCGAAAATTAACCTACTACTAAAACTAGCCTACATGAATTTGATTTTTGCCTTACTTATGACAGTTCGTTTGATATGAAACTATCATTCTATGCGTTATTATTCTAAGTGTATAAATAAATGATTTTGACTTTGAATTTGAGTTTGACCATGGGTAATGATCAAAGTCGCCTAAAACACGTTTTGAGTTAGTACCGCCATCTAGTTTGTTAAGAAGTGCATGAACGAACGTTTCGTAGATACGTCTGCTGCATCCTGGGCAACAACCGGCGAGTACCTTACACCTATTGGCAAATCTTTTCATCGCAATGGCAGGCATTATGGCCTATGCTATCGATACTATAACAAGTTCGTTCAACGATGAGCATATTTAGCCTAAATCAGAAAAAGGCTAATATAACATAAAAAACACTTGTGACTAAATGGTAGTAAAGTTAGAGGTTTAAAAATGGGTCTAATGGATTTAACTAAGTGCTTAAAAATATACACGTTAACGTGTGCACGGTCTCAGCATTGACTTTATTTCATTTCTTTTTCAACAATGTTTAAAAGTTTTCCTTTAATTTTCACATGTTCTCAGAAACACATTTGCACTTACAAATACTTGCCTATTTCTGAGATTATTAACTAGAAAAAAAAATATTTTACTAAGTAATATGTACATTGGAAAATAATTTTTAAAGTTAATTACTTAATTTTTGATTTTTGTGTTTAGTTGTTTTTAATTTTAACATTTCCGCCTTACATGATTTCATTCTCTATAAATTTGATTGCCTGATGCCTGCTTGATCGGCCATGCCTAGTGTAGGGATCAAAAGTAACTCCATACACGAATTGTCTTGATCCATCTCGCAAGTACCATTATCGATTAAACTGTATTTTTTATGCTAGTGTGTTTGTTTTACATTATTATTTTGCTACAATACTCTCGTCAAGTGACTTTGATCATTGATTCCCTGGACTCAGTCATTTTGTCTGTTGCATCTTTCCACCGAACGAAAGACATAATCTACATTCAAACGTTAATATGAAATTTCGTATGACTACATCTTTATAAACATTAATCCACGTTGACGTCGTCCTCCCGCTGCTAAGATAATTTTACTTTGAAAGCAAGTTATTTCTATTGAAAAACTAATAAATTTCTTTTCCCTCCTTAACAGCCGAAAGATTCTTGTTGATCCTTGCAGTGTTTTGGCTTGCCACGATAGAATGTTTTTATTGTTAAAATTTGTGTCACGACTTTATTAAATTTTAAAACTTATTCTCTATACATATTATTTATATATTCATATTCTTTATTATATATATTATCTCGTTCAAAAATACTAATACCTCCAAAGTTGAAATGTCAGGGTTATAGATTAGGCATAGAGAAATAATATGAGCGCTGTTAAATCAAAACACTGTAAGTGGCTTTACAGTGTATTGGTTTGAGACGGCAGTATACGTAACTTGGAAATTTTAGTCATAGGTGCATGCTGCCACAGGATACCAACAATAGACCTTTCAATTGAGAACCAATCGTTATCCCACTAGACTACCTACCACCGTTCTATTAGACATTGACACTTGATTTAAAACATTCAGTTTTGATTATGTTTTAGTTGAATATTCAAAGAAAATGTAAAGAAAATAAAGGTCGGATGCCAACCTGTCTTACCAAGATGGTTGGGCTTCTTACTTGGCGGGTCTGGCAGCCATGGTCGGAGCGTTGGAGGAGCGAGCGCTGCAGCTACCAGGGCAGCGGATGTCGGTGGGGACCAGCGTAGCGGTGACGTGTTGCCATCACCTGAGGTAAAAGTATTTTTAAGGTGGATCTTTTTCAACCAAAAAAGAAATGTTCAAATGACATGTTTTCACCTCTTAAGGTCGTCACTCTCAACGTCATTCTCAACCTACGAACAACTGAACCTACCAATTCACAAAAATACTCAAATATTCCAAAAGCAATCGAATCATCACTAACCGGTATCAAATCAGTAATCGAGCCCTTTAAGAAATTAATCCGATAAACATTTAATCTCAATAGGGCTAATAAAATAACCAGTACGAATCACACCCTTTAACTAATAGCATCCATGTTATAAAGTGAGGGACGCAAAATGCACCCTTGCGGCACTCCATTCATTTTTTTATTTTCCAACGTAACTTGAGCTCGTGGTTTGCATAAGTTAGTTGATGTAAGAGATCAAAATTTATTGGTATGAATGTGGCAAATCAATTAAGTAATTGCTACGGAGTATGTTGGGGTTAGTTATGGGAATTGGATACAGATTTATACGTTCAAATAAATATTATCAAAATGTAGGGTTTGGATAACAGCAGATATCTCAATCATTACAAGATATCTTAGTGATTGTCACTCGTTGGCTTTTGTATTGGTTTTTCTCCGATGTAAGTCCTTTTTCCGAATAACAAACGACATGTAGATTATCGAAATAATACATTTCATGTACAAAAAATAGTACATTTACGACCTTTAAAAAGTAAATATCTTCTATTTTTATTTGTATTCAAATAGGAAACTATTTGGCAACAATCTACTCAGATTGAATGAGAATGGAACGTGCTTATCTAGAAAGTTTGTAAATTCAAAAGTTTGTGGGTGAGACTAACACAAGACCTAGGCATCGAGTTAAATCGGGCTGTTGATAATGATCATCAGTTTACAGAGAGTATATTGAAGATGGCCATTTTATCCTGTCTAAATATTTCCAACTCTACATGGCTACGTGCGTCGATTCTGCGAGCTGTTCGTCGGTAATGTAATAATCCGTGATTGCGATTCGCAATTACCGCTAACTGGCTCGCCACTAACGAAATTATGGGGTTGTGACATTTTGACGATTTTATTGTACATGTCGTTTTCGACTTTTTACTATAACGTCCTCAATTTTCAGTATTTCTACGGACTTTCGTGCTCTTCAAATCATCAGACAGACAGTCCACCTAATATAAAATTATAACCACTGCCTATAGTCATAGAATAAAGCAAAATGTAGTGACACATCAAACCTGCTTTTATTTCACGAAAGTCATAAATATAATACTATAGTCAATACGGATGAGTTCTCTGACACTTCTAATTTTTACGTTGCACGCATACAATTTATAACTAATCTGTCAACCAGGTTGCAAAAATAAATAGTAAATTTGTTATAATGTACCAAAATCAAACAATATTTTAAGTAAAAATTTTGGTATATTATGTAGCTTGAAAATGAAATAATAAATATAAAAATAAATTGCCCCGAGTGCTTGATGCGTAAAATGGATTATTCATCCATAGAGATTTACATCATAGAATCGATAAATCGAATCGGCTTTTGTATAACTCGCGTCAATACGAGGCATTTACATACCTTGTTAGCGGGTTTTATTTTGTTTTTACCTTTACGTGATCTTTTTGGAGTAATTGTTCAAATCCGTTTCGTTGCTGTTGATTTTATGCTTTATTGTTGATTTTTTGTTTGGTTGTGTAGTTTTTAGGGATAGGACACAACATAAATTACCCTAATTACTTAACGTGTAAAACGAATTTCGTCTAAACTGCGTGAATGTCGAAATCCATGTCCCAATGAAATGCAGCAAGGACTTAGAGATCTATCATTGTCATACTAGCTAAAAAGTACCTAATCAGAAACAATCATGTATTTTGAGTAGTATATTTTCGAAAAAGTAAAAGTAGAGTATCTCATAGGACATTAACAAAAGTTACTCCCATCGTGTCACATCTGAAACGTTCTTAGCTCTATATGGAATGAGATAATTCGATGAGGGCAGTGTGTCAGAAACAGAGCAGTGTGGTGCATTGTATTGTATTGTCAGCCGGTAATTACATTGAACGGGATTGCACGCGAAATGCGAACAAACAGAAATGAAATAAAATGGCAACATAGTGTTGTAGAAGGAGCTCTATTCGAGGAGGTAGGCCGATTGCTACTAAACATTTACAAATGTACCTACAAGTAACTTACAAAATAAAAATACAAATAGCATCAGTAGAGGTCCTTGTGAAAATGTTCGTCCTTGGAAATACTGCCACCTTATCTATTTCTGCCGCCAAGCGTAATATAGGCATTACTGTGTTTTGATTTAAAGGTGGTTCAATTCAAAAGTTAAGGGTGCTGGTGAAATTACAGGCACATGGGACTTGTCAACTTATGTCTCAGGATGACAGGCGCAGTGGCAGTGCCCCTCAGATCTTTGTGATTTAAAACACTGAGAGGCACTGCAACTGTTATGGACCGGCGTGTCGCTTGTCACCAGGCGCACGACTTGTTCATCCTGTCACTTGGTATCATAAAAAAGAACTTGTACTATTTGACAACTTTTTTATTAACTTAAAAAACTTAACTTAAACTTAAAAATTTTCGATAACTATTTCAGTAATCGAAAATTTGATGCAAATTTCAATTGGTTATTTCGGTTCGTTTTAATAAAACCATTTCAAATGCAGGATCATCATTAAAAGCTTTATTAAATCAACAGTTTTTTTTAAATAAACGTGTTTCAAGTGTTCATCAACGATTACTCATTGATTACGCATCATCTGTGAATTATCAAAATTTCCGCTTCCTATAAACGTTGCTCGGCACTTAAGTGGGGGCGCGTTCCGATTATGTCGTGACGACAGATAGTTCACGATTTTTTTGACATTACGACGATAGATTGTCTGGTGTTAGCTGGAACGACAGTCGTAAATAAAGAAATAGTCACGATAAAAATGTGACGACAGCAGCAGTTTCAAATGATCCTGTCGTACAAACGACAAGGCTGCTGCCGTGAATCGATAAATTGTTGTCAAGACCTAGCGGGAACAGCTAGACACGACGTCGTTCAACGATAAAATAAACGTTCACGACGCAGTCACGATAGATAGTCGTGATACGGGAACAGGCTAGACGCAACAGCCGTCTAAGGGCGCGTTCCCACTATGTCGTCACGATTTATTATCGTTGGACGACTGTCGTGTCTTGCCTGTTCCCATATCACGACTATCTGTCGTGGACGATTTTTTATCGTTGAACGACTGTCGTGACTAGCTGTTCCCAGTAGTAGATCGTGACGACAATATGAGCTGCGACAATCTATCGTGACGTTTTTTTATCGTCTGACGACTGTCGTTCTAGCTGTTCCCACTGTGACGACAGTTTGTCGTTGTAACGATAAAAAATCGTGAACGACAGTTAATCGTGTCGTGCTATATGTGAACAACTACATTTAAATATACAAGCCACGACACTGTAAACAGCGCGACAATCTGTCGTCACGACATAGTGGGAACGCGCCCTTACCATAAGTAAAACGTTACGACATAATTTGGAAGGCGCCCTTACGGTGCAAGATTCTTAATAAGTCTTATACAGTGATGAATCTAAGTCGCTTGAAATAGTATCATTGAAGATGGCGATGATTACAGTCTATTAAAAGCGCTTCTTATTTCAGTCAATAGCACTTAATACTAACAATTTTAGTTGCAGAAGAGCTAATTGTGCAAGAGTTCGTCTAAGAAAATAACTACTATCTTATCTATTTCTGCCACCAAGCAGTAATGTGAGCATTACTGCGTTCCGGTTTTGAAGGATAAAGGTGCTGGTGAAATTACAGACATGAGACTTGGTTTTTTGTTACAATATCCAGTGACGGGAAGAACAAGTCATGGGCCTGATGATAAGCTACGCGCCTGTCCATAACAGTCACAGTGCCACTCAGAGGTTTAAATTGCAAAGATCTGAGGGGCCATGCCATTGCGCCCGTCACCATGCGACATAAGTTGACAAGTAAAACATTTCACATTATTATTAATTGTAGGTATCTCAAAATAATGCTGCAACTTACACACGTATCAGTGTGTGAATATCACCTTTAAGCCCATCTTTGGATGGGCGATCGAGTTTCACTGTGAGTAAACCGGCGCAAGCCAAGTAAGCTTTTCAAGGTAACATTTCTTGTTACATAACACACACACAATCGCGTACTTAACTTGTGCAAGTTTACTCGCGGTGAAGCTCGTGTGGCCGGTCCTCTAGGAACTAGGAATAATAACCTTCACAAAATGTTTTTGGTCCAAAATCATAACATCAATCAATGCGTTTAATCCGGCGTCAGAAGCGAGCACATGTGCGCTTCTCCCAAGGGCCCAATTCACCATCATATTGATTTTAATATTGCACACTATATTGTATAGTGAATGAATAGCAAGTCTATGTTTTATGATATCAAGTGACGGGACGAACAAGTCGTGCTGCTGGTGGTAAGCGACACTCCTGTTCATAGCAGATGCAGTGCCAGTCAGAGTTTTAAATCGCAAAGATCTGAGAGGCACTGAAAGGCATACTTCTGGTGGCAATTCTTCTAAGTACCAATAGAGCTCCTTGTGCAAGAGTTCATCTAGGGAAGTACTGCCACCTTACTTATTTCTGCCGCCAAGCAGTATTGTGAGCGTTACTGCGTTCCGGTTTTAAAGGGTAAGGGCGCTAGCGAAATTACATGCACATAGGACTTTTCAATTTATGTATCAGAGTGATGGGCGCAGAGGCAGTGCCCCTCAGATCTTTGCGATTTAAAGCTCTGAGAGACACTGCAACTGTTATGGACAGGCGTGTCGTTTACCATCAGGCGCATTTATTCGTCCCATCACTTAGCATCATATGAAAATCTTCCCTGGACGAACTCTTTCACAAGGAGCTTTATTGCTACTAAAATTGCTGCATAATCATGTTCATTGACCATAAACTTTAGATATATAACCTTAACATTCCACACGAACTCGCAAGAAAGACATTAAAAAAGAGAGCAATTGTATCAAAGTAAATTTTCTGAGACGTATGAAAGTTGGAGAGAAATTGTAAGTCAGAACGCCTTGCGCTGGGTAAATCCCGGTATCAGGATAAATCAATGTTTGTTCCTGCTCCGAGTGTGCCACTTATTCTGACATCGAATAGAATAGAGACGACAACAACACTACGAACTTCAGTGGAAAAAGTAAAAAAAAACATGAAAACACGCTTCCTTTACTAAAAAGCAAAATTGCCAGAACCATTTACAGGATACAATTATTGAAGGTGCGCGTACATCGTGTCGACGCGTGCGTTGGCAAGACGCTGACGCTCTAAAGACGCTAATGTATGGGAGTCTCTTAAGCATCCAGAATTGTTTGTAAAATACTAACAACCTCCCAGGACTATTTTACTAACATCATAAACAACAAGTTTTGTTTCATTACTTTTATAATACATATGCGATAGCCCTGATTTGGCATACAGACGCAGGTTTGAGTCCCATCATATCAAAGGAATGTTTCTTTGTATTCGATCTTTGTATTAGTAATAAATTTTAATTTGTTACATTCGTCTCCTCTGCTTTTGTTGAATACGGTATAATCGACGTGCTTTGACAACGAATGAAAATTCATTTTCAACATACTATCACGGCTTCTATCGTCGGACACTATCTTCCGTTTGTCTTCGCCTTATACATCCGACTACAACAAAAATGGAAAGTAAATTACACGCGGCGGTATTATTTTGTCCAGACGTGTTCTAGATGTTTATTTGTTTCGGGTTTTCATTTATTTTTTTAGGAAAACGTGTTTATTAATAATAATAACGCACACACTCTATTAGTCTCGGACTAGGGAAACCCTGTGTCGCGGGTGCCATGGACACACACGTAGACACCACAAATTATATTCAAACTCACGAGAGAAATAAATGTAGGCCATATATTTTTCCCCGCCCGAGAACCGAACCAGAGACTTCTGCGTAGCAGACCAAAATGGTAACTATTCGACCACAGAGGCAGTGTTTTACTAGTCGTTTTAAATAATTTCATTCA